TAAATATGATAAATAATCATATTTAATTTAATTAAATAATTATAGGCACAGATAGATAGATAGCTAGATAGCTAGATAGTGATAATAATGCTAATTTGTTTAATTGTTTGTAAAATAGATTCAAAATGTGTATTCTGATTAATTCATTATTATTTTAGTTTAGTTTAGCTACGTTTTTATTTATTTATTGTATTTTAGTTTTGTTTTATTTTTAATTTTTTTTATCGTGCCCAGACAGGATGATTTTCATTAAGTTGCAATAAAAAAGATTGTAAGAAAATAAGACTGTATAATATATCTAAATATGAGATTTCGATGAGAAATATACATGTAAAAAAAAAATCAGTATTTCATCTTTGAAAATGTTTCTTCTTTATGGTTGATTCTTCTCAGGTGTGCATTATTGAGGTGCTTTAGAGCTGAACTGAAGTTGGGCTGCATGAGGGCATTGATGCATCTTATGAAAGAGATCTAATCAAATCTCTCTTTGCTGTAGTCCATGTTTGTACGAGCAGGACACTGCCCAGAACCCTTTCTTCCCTCCGTATGTCCTGAGAGATGGAATGTGCTGGCTCAAACTAAAGCTTTTTCAGTGAAAAGAGAGAAACACATTTCTCTTTTCGCTGCTTTTCTACATTTTGTCAACCAAATACCAAATGTCTGCACTTTCTCACCACAGAGACAGCAATTAGATCTGGTTTTAGTTGAGCATGAGGAATGTGAACATTTAAATAATCCAGAAGTGCAGGCGATCACACACTTAACAACATGCATTGACATTGCATTAGTGCTTTTAGTGTAAAATGGAGAAGTGTAAGTTTGGAAGAGACAAGGGAGTTGAAGGATGTGCCTTTTAGGGCTTTTTAGGGAATAACATGTTGTTTCATTAACTAAAACTAAAACCATAAAAAAAATTGTTACTTGGAAAAAAACCTTAACATTTCAAATTTGTCTTTGGTTTTACTAAAATAAAATAATTTGTTATTTATAAAACAATTGAATGAAAACTATATAAACATTTTTAAAAGACAAAAATAAAAAAAAATGACAAAACACAATAAAATAATTCAAACAAACTAAAAATGAAAATAGAAAAATAAAATCT